CTTCAACAGAAATAGTCCAAGTCTTGCGAAGTTAAAAATAAAACTATATCACAAGGGGCAATGTGACCAGGCTCAGCTTACGACTTTTTCCTTCCCCTGTATTTACCAACACTCAGTCTCTACTGGAGTGGCATTTCGCAGGGTAAACTGAATGGGAAGTAAAGTTTTATACCAATAGGTTTTCTATCCCTTGAGGAAAGAGGAAAATCTTTTTAAGAAGGATCATTTTCAAGGCTAGAGCCGCCTCTCAGATTCCTGCATGTGCAGCTGGCTGGCCCAGCTGTGCTGGAGGAGGCTGGCAGAGCATTCAGGACCGGCTGCTGCTCTAATTATAACCATGCTCCTCACCTAAACCCATCACTGGCTGAAGCAGCCACTTGTGCAAGTGACATGCTTTCCTGCTTCAGTTTCTCCTATCTCGTGTCATGACAAGTAAGTGTCTGTCCTCCCCTGGCCCTTGTCTTTCCTAGGTGGCTGGGAAAGGGAAAGTTTGTAATTCAGAAACCAGGTGTAGAGCTAATCCAGTGTGAGAGAATTAGAGGTTGTAGGAGGCTTTAGCTATCATTTCGTCCAACTCCCTCTTTTTACAGAGGAGGAGACAGAGATTCAGAAGAGGGAAACTCCTCATCCAATATCACACATCTCATTAGTGGAAGAGAACATCTCGTTAGTGGAAGAGCCAGAGGAAAGCCACAGAGAGCTCGTTTAACTCCCAATCTGATGTTCCTTATCATCTCGATAAACTCATTCAGCTATCTTGTGAGGAAAGAAACTATAGAATTGTGACTTTGGTGTTTTCTAGGTATGTGATTTTGACCAATTTACTTAACCATATTCTATTTCAGTTTTCCCCACTGTGAAATGGTGATGATACTTAGTGTAACCACATGTAACTCTGTCAATACACATAAGGCACATGAATGATATGTACCATATACAAGGTGCTCAACAATGCCCACTGTTATTTGAATGTATTTTGACTCAGAGCAGATGTGCTAAATTCAGCTGTGATTAACAGCCATCGAATTAACCTTTCCCCTGGATTCTTCCATACATATTTCTCCATGGAGGTAAACTTATTTGGAATGAGCAAATAGCAGTTGAAAATTGTAAAAACTTTCTACATTGATTTTGTATCTTGAAACTTTGCTGAACTGGTTTATTAGTTGTAATAGTTTTCTTGTGGATTCCTTAGGATTTTCAAGGTCATGCCATCTGTTAACAGAAATATTTTAACTTCTTTCTTTTCAATTTAAATGCCTTTTACTTTCTTTTCTTGCCATTTTCCCTGGCCGAGAACTTCCAGCATTATGTTCTCACCGTGTTTGGTGAGTGTGAGAGTGGCCACACTTCACTTGTTCCGATTTTAGTGGGGAAGCATTCAGTCTTCCACTGATAAGTATGATGTTGCCTGTGGATTTTTGTAGATGGCTTTTATCAAGTTGAAGGACAGGAGTTTGATAGTTTGTTCTAGTTTGTTGAGTGAATCAAGAAAGAATGTGAGTCTTCAGCAAATGCTTTTTCTGTGCCCAGCAAGATGATCATGTGGTTTGTCCTTTATTCTATTAATATCTTGTATTACATTGATGAATTTTTTTATGTTGAAACAATCTTCCATTCCTACTTGGTCTGGTATATGTCCTTTTTAAATGTTGCTAAATTTAGTTTGTTAGTATTTTATTGAGGTTGTTGTGCCAACATCGAAACCAGGTTTGAGGGTGGCACTCTCACACATCCGTGTGAATGCCCAATCATCACGCTCATGAACTACAAAAGGATCTTATTGAGGATTTTTGCATCTATATTCAGAGGAGATGTTACAGGTTGAGCATCCCCAATCTGAAAATCTGAATTCCAAAATGGTTTAAAATCCAAAACTCTTTGTGCCTAACGTGACATCATAAGAGGAGAGTTTCACACTTGGCCTCATGTGATGAGTCATAGTCAAAATGTAGTCAAAACTTTATTTCATGCAGAGTTATTTAAAATATTGTACAATTACCTTCAGGCTATGTATATAAGGTATATATGAAACATAAATGAGTCATTTAGACTGGTGTCCCATCCCCGAGATACCTCATTATGTGTGTGCAAATATTCCAAATGCAAAGAACTCCAAATCTAAAACACTTCTGGTTCCAAGCATTTCCAATAAGGGATACTCACTATATTCCATAGTTCCCTTATGGTGTCTTTGTTCAGCTTTGGTATCCAGGTAATATCAATCTCATAAAACGAGTTCCCTCCTCTTTTGTTTTTTGGAAAAGTTGTGAGGGATTGGTGTTAATTCTTCTTTAAACATTTTGGTAGAGTTTAGCAGTGAAGCCATCTGGAACTGGGCTTTCCTTTGTGGGAAGTTTTTGATTGTTAACTCAATCTCTGTGTTTATTATAACTGTCTTAGGGACTGTTTTTGTGTTGTTATAACAGAATACCTGAAACTGGGTAATTTATGAAGAAGAGAAATTTATTTCTTATAGTTCTGAAGGCTGGGAAGTTTTCCAGCCTCAGATGGAAGATGGAGGGGTGACATCTGGCCAGGGTCTTCATGTTTCATCCTCCCATGGCAGAATGAAGAGGAGGAGAGGAGAGAGAGAGAGAGAGAGAGAGAGAGAGAGAGAGAGAGAGAGAGAGAGAGAGAGGTGGGGGTGGGTGGTGGGGGAGAGAGAGATTTGGAGAAGAGGGCTGAACCCATCCTTTTATCAGAAACCCACTTCTGAGACAACTAATCCACTCCTATTAATTTAATGGCATCAATTCATTCCATGGGGGCTCTGCCCATTACCTCTTAAAGGTCTCATCTCTCAATGTTTGCTTTGGGGATTAAGTTTCCAATGCATGAGCTGTGTGGGACACATTCATACCATGGCAAACTCTATTCATAAGATTCATTTCTTGTGGAGTCAGATTTGGTATTCTGTGTCTTCCTAGGAATTTGTCCATTTCATTTAAATTATCTATTTGTTGGCATTCAATTGTTCATAGTATTTCTTTTGAATAAGTTTTATTTCTACAAGGTTTATAGTAAAACCTTGACTTTTGTTTCTGATTCTAGTAATTTGAGTCTTTTGGGAGCTATGTCAATCTAGCTAAACCTTTGCCATGCTGTTATCTTTTCAAAGAACCAGCTTTTGATTTCATAATTTTTTTTTCTCTATTGCTTTTTTATTCTCTATTTCATTTACTTCTGCTCTAAGCTTTCCTTCTCTCTGACTTCTTTGGACTGTTATTATCAATTATTGAGAGTGTTGTATGAATATATCATATTATGACTATATATTGGTGACATTTTCTTAAGAATTTTAATTTTCAGCAGGGCATGGTGGCTCATGCCTGTAATCCCAGCACTTTGGGAGGCCGAGGTAGGTGGATCCTGAGGTCAAGCGATCGAGACCATCCTGGCCAACATGGTGAAACCCTGTCTTTACTAAAAATACAAAAAATTAGCTGGGCATGATGGCACGCACCTGTAGTCCCAGCTACTAGGGTGGCTGAGGTAGGAGGATTGCTTGAACCTGGGAGGTGGAGGTTGCAGTGAGCCAAGATCACACCACTGCATTCCAGCCTGGCATCAGAGCAAGACTCTGTCTGAAAAAAAATTTGCCTCATATATTTTGGGTATATGTTGTTAAGTATATACAAATTCAGAGTTATTGTATACTTCAAGTTAATTGTTCCTTTGTTGTTGTCTAATACACTTTCTTTTTTTTTTTTTCTTTTTGTTTTGAGATGGAGTTTTGCTCTCGCTGCCCAGGCTGGAGTGCAATAGCACGATCTTTGCTTATCACAACCTCTGCTTCCTGTGTTCAAGCGATTCTCCTGCCTCAGTCTCCCAAGAAAACGAAATTTTCATTTGGAAAAATTTCATATTTCCAAATGAAATAGGGAATAGAAAAGCAATAGAGAAAAAATTATGGTCAGGCTGGTCTTGAACTCCTGACTCAGGTGATCTGCCTGCCTCAGCCTTTCAAAGTGCTGGGATTACAGGCATGAGCCACTGCGTCTGGACTAATATACTTTATTTCTAAAAAACTGTTTTAGCCAGCCAAGGTGGCTCACACCAGTAATCTCAGCCCTTTGGGAGGCTGAGGCAGGAGGACCACTTGAGCTCAGGAGTTTGAGGCCAGCCTAGGCAACATGGCAAACTCCCATCTCCACTAAAAATACAAAAATTAGCCAGGCATGGTGGCAGGTGCCTGTAATTCTAGCTATGTGGGAGGCTGAGGTAGGAAAATTACTTGAACCCCAGGAGGTGGAGGTTGCAGGTGGTGGTGGGCACCTGCAGTCCTAGCTACTCAGGAGGTTGAGGATCACCTGAGCCCAGGAGGTGAAGGCTTTGGTGAGCCATGATCATACCACTGCATTCCAGCCTGGGTGACAGAGTGAGACTTAGTTGCAAAAAAATAAATAAAGTGGATAACCCCCAAAACCACTGACCTACTTTTAGAAAATCCAAGATAGCTTTGGGAAGGGAATTTTGTAGTCTCACTGGCCATGTAAGGGATTAGAAAGGCTTTTCAGGGAGAATTGTGGGGCTGATTGCATACTGCTGAGCTATATTTGGAAAACTCTTCACAACATTTCCATGGAAATCAAAGAGACATAGACCCAGATGTTTGGGTTAAAACCAGACAAAGGAAAAAAAAAAGTCATGTGCAAGAGGCAAGACCTCTTTTTTTAAAAAAAAATTTTTTTTTGAGACAGGGTTTCACCATGTTGGCTAGGCTGGTCTTGAACTCCTGACCTCAGGTGAACCGCCTGCCTCGGCCTCCCAGAGTGCTGGGATTACAGAAGTGAGCCACCACACCTTGCCATTTTTCTTTCTTTTTGCTTTTAAAAAAAAAAAAAAAATTTTTAAGACCTCTTTTCTAGGCCAGGCGCGATGGTCATGCTTGTAATCCTAGCACTTTGGGAGGCCGAGGTGGGTGGATCAACTGAGGTCAGGAGTTCAAGACCAGCCTGGCCATCATGGTGAAACCCCATCTTTTAAAAAAAAAGACCTTTTTTCTAAATGGTCCGTATTTATTAGTACTCCGATCAGAGTAATCCAAAGGCTACCATATTGGAGGTTTTCTAGAATTCTAGACTGTCTGTTGGACTGTAGGCTTCAAAGCCTTGGCTTGTCATACTGGGCCAGGTTTGTATGGGAGATCGGCCTACAGCTGGACCAGCAAAGATGCTGAGAGAGGAACCCTGTCCTCCTATCTGGTGCTTTGTTGGCGAGAGATACTGATACAGACAGTGGAAAGAAGAGCTGGATATCTCATTCTCATCAGGAAGATCATACAGTTCTATGACTTGGGATATGTCATAGGCATCAGAGTACAAAGCAGGAACTGAGGCTACCAGCTTTTCCCACTGAGTATCTTGCATTTGGAAATCACTTGTGGGACTCTCAGTGAAAGTAGAGTTCCATGCCCAATTGGAAGGGCCTAAGGACTGAGGTGGAAGGGAGCTGTAGAAATCTGAAACCACAGGATAAAAATCATAAGAAATGATAGATGTTCTCAGGAAGGTGGGCACATCCTTCTCGGATAGAAGGATCTGGTTTGGTAGCATTGCTGATTGCTGCTGCTGCTGCTGCTGCTGTTGCTGCTGCTGCTTTTTCTGTTTGAATCGCCGGTTCCTGAACCAAACCTGGGAGTGGGGGAAGAAAGGAGATGATGGTCTGTTCTTAGAGAAGGCGTTTGAGGCTTCTCCTGAATAAAAACAGCCAGATTATAATCTTCATGTCCTCTCCAATTTGCCATGACACTGGGTTCTGCAAGAGCAGTGATGGGCATGACTGGAGTCAATAGGAGGGACGACAGAGATCAGGTTTGGGACCCCAGGAAGGAAGAAAGGGGGCGTGTTTCAGGGTTTGTGCTGGGGGTTCAGAGACAGGGTCCTGAACTTGAGAAGAGAGGCTAGTTCAGGGATCTAGGATCTAGGGATAGGTGAAGAATATGAACTGAAGGATTTTCAAGGATTATTTTAGGAGGCCTCTACTATGAGAAATACTCCAATAAAAATGTATGGCCAGTCACGGTGGCTCACGCCTATAATCTCGGCACAGAGTCTGAGGCAAGAGGATCACTTGAGCTCAGGAGTTTGAGACCAGCCTGGGCAACATAGTGAGATCCCGTCTCGAAAAAAAGAAAAAAGTACAAGAAAAATGTTATGGGCTTAAGCAGGCTCAGAGGTTAGAGGGAGTATTGTTTGTCTGTTGGTAGCAATATGAATAAACAGATTGCAGGCCTTTGCTTTGAAAGACGCTAGGTGAGGAGTCTGTCTGGATGAGAGCCTTTCTCCTATTTGGACTCTATGGTACAGTGTTAAAAACAAGATTTCTGGAGTTTTAATTCTAGCAACACTACTATTATCTCTGTGGCCCAGTCACTTTGCCTCTGAACCTCATTTTTTCTCATCTTTCAAACTGCATGATATTGAGGCCAGTGTTTGCGATGCCCCCAGTTTAGTACTGTTTCGGTAGGTACTCGATAAATAGAATATTATTGTGGGGCACGGTGGATGGTGGGGAATTTCCAGGCTGGATAGGTGAATGTGGCTTGGATGGGGGTACCAAGGACACCTTAGGGATCAGACCTTTACTGTTGACTCCGATAGGTTGAGTTTCAAAGCTAGTTTCTCCTGACGATTTCTATCTGGGAACATGGTCTCGCTAAACAGAGCTTCTAGCTCTTCATACTGTTCGCGGGTGAATGAAGTACGGGCTTGATGCCTTCTCCATGTTGCTTCAGGGCAGAGAAAAAGAAGGGGTGGTTACATTTACATTACCAATCTCTCCCCCAACCAAGAAAACAAATACCAAAAACCAAATCACCACTGTGAATCGCCCATGCCTTTCCTACAGCCAGGCTTAGGATCCAGAAAATGCAGATTCCAAGTCTTGAGTCTGAATGGCTGAGGCCTGGGTAACCACGCTCTGTTCTCTGTTTTCTGAGATTTTGTCCCTGATAGGACATTGGTTACTTCTTCAATTTTCTCTGCACTCAGTCTGTTCACCCTGGAAACTGGCTCCCTTGATTTTCATTTTGCCCCACTGCACTGAAAAGCTTTCTGTTTTACTTTTTTTCTCTGGTACTCAGTCTTTCTATCCTACCTAACCTCAGGAAAGTAGATAGTAGCTTCTGTCTTCTCATCTTTTCCACACTTTCGTTTTTCTAGAAACTAGGAATATTCTGTGCAAGAGCTAGCCAAAATTTAAAAACTAATTATGAAATAGAAGAAACTAGGAATAAACTCCATGTCTTTGCACCTGAATATAACCCACTCTTCAAAATGGGTTTCCTCTCTTCATTTATTTATTGAGGAACCTAGTCCAACTTGTCTGGCAAATAGGCGCTCTCTCTCTCTCTCTCTCTCTCTCTCTCTTTCTCTCTCTCTCTCTCTCTCTCTCTCTCTCTCATTTTTAGAGACAGGGTCTTGCTCTATTGCCCAGGCTGGAGTGCTGTGGCATGATCATAGTTCATTGTGACCTTGAACTCTTGGGCTCCTGCAATCCTTTGGCCTCATCTTCCTGCGTAGCTAGGACTACAGGCACTACTACCACTCCTGGCTAATTTAAAAAAAACATTCTTTTCATAGAGATGGGGTCTCCTTACATTGCCCAGGCTGATGCTGAACTCCTGGGCTGAAGTGATCCTCCTGCCTTGGCCTCCCAAAGCGTTGGAATTACAGATGTGAACCACCATGCCTGGTAAGGCTTTTTCTTTTTTTTGAGATGGAGTTTCGCTCTTTTTACCCAGGCTGGAGTGCAATGGCACGATCTCGGCTCACCACAACCTCCGCCTCCTGGGTTCAGGCAATTCTCCTGTCTCAGCCTCCTGAGTAGCTGGGATTACAGGCACGCGCCACCATGCCCAGCTAATTTTTTGTATTTTTAGTAGAGACGGGGTTCCAGCATGTTGACCAGGATGGTCTCGATCTCTTGACCTCGTGATCCACCCGCCTTGGCCTCCCAAAGTGCTGGGATTACAGGCTTGAGCCACCGCTCCCGGCCGGGCTTTTTCTTTTATGGGATTTCTGAGGCTCTATTCACTACTTTGGGGAAAAGATCATAAGAAATCAAATGTGGGCCGTACACAGTGGCTCATGCCTATAATCCCAGCACTTTGGGAGGGAGGCGGGTGGATCACGAGGTCAAGAGATTGAGACCATCCTGGTCAACAAGGTGAAACCCCGTCTCTACTAAAAATACAAAAATTAGCTGGGCATGGTGGTGCGTGCCTGTAGTCCCAGCTATTCAGGAGGCTGAGGCAGGAGAATTGCCTGAACCCAGGAGGCGGAGGTTGCGGTGAGCCGAGATCGTGCCATTGCACTCCAGCCTGGGTAACAACAGCGAAACTCCGTCTCAAAAAAAAAAAAGAAATCGAATGTGGTCATCACAATGTGCTTACACCTGTAATCCCAGCACTTATGGGAGGCTGAGGTAAGAGGATCACATAAGTGGAAGAGTTTGAGACCAGCCTGGACAATGTAGGGAGACCCTATCTGAACGAAAAATTTAAAAATTAGCTGGGCATGGTTGCATGTGCCTGTGGTCCCAACTATTCTTGAGGCTGAGGTGGGAGGATTGCTTGAGGCTGGGTGGTTGAGGCTGTAGTGAACCATGATTGTGTCACTGCACAGTCATGTGTCAGCATGGGTGACAGAGTGAGACTCTGTCTCAAAACAAAATGAAATAATAAATATGTGTAGAAATTCTCTAGCACAACTGCAAAATATGTGTGTGTGTGTGTGTGTGTGTGTGTGTAGAAGATTGAAGAAGTATAGTTTTTTAAAAATGGCAATGAAAAGGAAAAGTGTTTTTTCTTAAAAAATGCAGTTATTGGCCAGGTGTGGTGGCTCATGCCTGTAACTGCAGCACTTTGGAAGGCTGAGACAGGTGGACCACTTGAGGCCAGGAGTTTGAGACCAGCCTGGCCAACATGTTGAAACCCCATCTTTACTAAAACTATAAAAATTAGCCAGGCCTAGTGGTGCATGCCTGTAATCCCAGCTGCTAGGGAAGCTGAGGCAGGAGAATCACTCACTGCAGAGGTTGCAGTGAGCCGAGATCACGCCACTGCTCTCTGGCCTGGGTGACAGAGTGAGATTCCATCCCTATAAAAAATCAACAACAACCCACAATTATAAAAAATTTGGCCATGCACAGTGGCTCACACCTGTAATCCCAGCACTTTGGGAGGCCAAGGCAGGATAATTGCTTGAGGCCAGGAATTCAAGACCAGCCTGAGAAACATAAGGAGACCCTGTCTCTATAGAAAATGTTTAAAAAATTAGCACATGCCTATGGTCCCAGCTATGGGAGGCTGAGGTGGGAGGATCACTTTAACCCAGGTCAAGGCTGTAGTGATCTACTATTAGGTGACTGCCCTCCAGTGTGGGCAACAGAAAGAGACCCTGGCTCTAGAAAAATAAATAAAGTAAAAATAAAAGGAGGAAAGGTTCTCACTTGGACCTCCCTTCTTATACCTAAAAGTCCATAATACCAATACTAAAATCAGGCAAAATAAACTCTATAGATAAAACTATAGGCTAATGCCACTTAAGAACATAGATGAAAATAACCTATATAAAACATATTTAATCCTATTTTAAATGTACATATTCTTAAACTTATAATATCTTATTTTTGCAGTTTATATGTATATATTTGAAATCTAGTATACTTAGAAATATTTATTTTTTTCTGCTCACATTTAATAACATTATTCTACTCAAATGGTATTTACTTTGGATAACCACATCTTAAATATTCTAAGCCTGTTCTTTTAATTAAATAACATCGTTTTACCAGGCACATATTCTTTATTTTTAAATAAGAAGTTTGTGATACAATATTTCTGGAATACGTCTATGGCATACTATTATTGGGAATTTTGTTCTAAGCTACAAGGAACTTTTTAATGTAATATTAAGATAACCACTCCCCAACCCACTCATCCTATAAGGGTGCATTTGTGATTTCCACAACCTAAATACTTACTATAAATTGTTTAAAAACAAGAACCTGGCCAGGTGCTGTGGCTCATTGGTACTTTGGGAGGCCGAGGTAGGTGGATCATTTGAGCTCGGGAGTTCAAGACCAGCCTGGCCAATATTGCAAAACCCCCTCTATACTAAAAATACAAAAATTAGCCAGGCACGGTGGCACATGCCTATACTCCCAGCTACTTGGGAGGTTGAGGCAGGAGAATCACTTGAATTCGGGAGGTAGAGGTTGCAGTGCGCTGAGATCGTGCCAGTGCATTCCAGCCTGGGTGACAGAGTGAGACTCCATTTCAAAAAAAAAAAAAAAGCCAGGCATGGTGGTTCATGCCTATAATCCCAGCACTTTGGAGGCTGAGGTGGGTGGATCACGAGGTCAGAAGTTTAAGACCAGCCTGGCCAAGATAGTGAAACCTCATCTCTACTAAAAATACAAAAAAATTAGCTGGGCACAGTGGCAGGCACCTGTAATCCCAGCTACTCTAGAGGCTGAGGCAAAAGAATTGCTTGAACCCGGGTGGCAGAGGTTGCAGTGAGCTGAGATTGTGCTACTGCACTCCAGCCTGGGCAATAGAGTGAGACTGTCTCAAAAAAAAAAAAAAAAATTAGCCTGGTGTGGTGGCATGTATTTGTAATCCCAGCTACTCAGGAGGCTGAGGCACGAGAATCACTTGAACCCAGGAGGCAGAGGTTGCAGTGAGCTGAGATTACACCATTGCACTCCTGAGCAACAGAGCGAGCCTCCTTCTAAAATAATAATAACAAACTTACTATCTACTTGTGTGTCTCTAAACACAACATGTACAAGTAAATTAAGTAAACCAAAACTGTATAGATGATAAAGAAAAGGAAGCAATGGTTTTTTTTCTGTATGTTTTAGCTTTTTACATACTTCTGAATCATTAGCTTCTGTATTTATTCAAAATGTCATCCCTTGAAATAGGACTGTAATGATTTCATGCCAAAGCTTTATATCCATATCTTGGTGTCCATAATCAGTCTTTTTTGGAAACCCCTCCCTTTTTTTTTTTTTTTTTTTTTGGTCTTTTTCAAATGAGTTTTGGAGCTGTTGGTTGGTTGTGACTTCCCACTTATCTGCCCACAAAGATGCAGAAGGAAGACAGCAGGCATCACCCAGGCTTCAGAAGAGAACCCCCAAATATTAACTAGAATTCACTTGAAAGTTCAGCAGACCATTCTGAGAAAAACATTCGAAACTGAGAGTAGTTCTGCAGACTCCAATGTGAATGAGTACAAAGAGTTTAAATATGTCTAAAGCTGTGGAATAGTTTAGGCCCTATCATCTCATGAAACTAACAAACCAAAGCTCCTTTCCAAAACGAAATGCTGCATTAGGGAAAAAACTATGTTTGCATTCTGCTGGAAGGGATTGCTAAACACAAAATAAACAATACAGAACAAAAGAAAGGAAGGATGAGATACAAGGAGGAGGCAGATCTCTGATAACTTCAAAAAGCAACTAAAAGATTGGGTGTGGTGGCTCATGCCTATAAACCCAGCTACTTGGGGGCAGAGAGATTGCAGTAAACTGAGATCCTGCTACTGCACTCCAGCCTGGGCTATAGAGTGAGACTCTGTCTCAAACAAACAAACAAACAAACAAATAAAAACACTCCAGGGGTGGAGGCTCATGCTCATAGTCCTGCCCTACCTTGGAGGCTTAGGTGGAAGGATTGCTTCAGCCCAGGAATTTGAGATTAGCCTCAAACACAGTGAGACTCAGTGAGTAGGGAGAAAAAAAACCCAAAAAACCTTTGGGACAATTTAAAATCTTATAGTTGGCTAAAATATGTTTTAAAAAACCAAAATAAAAATGCTTGTGGACAAACAAAAGATGAATCTATCACCTGTACCCTGCACTATAATATGTTAGAAGACATAATTTTTATTTGAAATTTTCTATATTAGTCTAGGCACAGTGACTCACACCTATAATCCTAGAACTTTGGGAGGTCAAGGCGGGCAGATCACTTGAGGTCAGGAGTTTGAGACCAGCCTGGCCAACATGGCAAAACCCCATCTATACTAAAAATACAAAAATTAGCTGGGTGTGGTGGCATGCACCTGTAATCCCAGCTACTTGGGAGGCTGAGTCAGGAGGCTCTCTTGAACCCAGGAGGCAGAGGTTTCAGTGAGTAGAGATTGTACCACTGAACTCCAGCCTGGTGACAGACACTCCATCTCGAAAAAAATAAAATAAAATGTTTAAGATAATGAAATAAGATGTAATCTTCAGCAATTATTTGTTCCAAAACAAAGGGACCCCACCTACTCTGAGATGGAACTGTTAGGAACAGGAACTATGTTCACTAAACTATGTGACTGGAAGCAGTGGAGAGAGGCTTTAATGAGCTTGGATTTCCAGGGCTGGCAGTTCTCATAAAACAGCAAACGAGGCCTGGCGCAGTGGCTCACGCCTATAATCCCAGCACTTTGGGAGGCCAAAGTGGGTGGATCACAAGGTCACGATTCACGTGGCTAACAGGTTCACGTGGCTAAAACGGTGAAACCCCATCTCTACTAAAACTACAAAAAATTAGCTGGGTGTGGTGGCACGTGCCTGTAATCCCAGCTACTCGGGAGGCTGAGACAGGAGAATCATTTGGACTGAGGGAGCGGAGGTTGCAGTGAGCCAAGATCACACCACTGCACTCTAGCTTGGGCAACAGAGCAAGATTCCGTCTCAAAAAAAAAAAAAAAAAAAAAAAGAAAAGAAAAGGCAAATAAACCATCTGCAAAGTAGGTGCATCATATACACTGATAATAACTAAAGTTGATTGGTAGGTACAGGTGATTTTAATGTAAGTATTCTATTTTTCTTCTCAAAGATGGGGGTTTTCCTATATTAGTCAGACTGGTCTGGATTCCCTGGGCTCAAGGGATCCTCTCATCTCAGCCTCCTGAGTAGCTGGGATTACAGACACATGCCGCTGCAACCAGCTCTATAATTATTCTTTAAGTTCTCTCTTTCTAATGTTTTTCATAATACACAGTTTTAAAAATAAGGTTAAAAAGAAAAAGCAAATTGATAACACCATCACCTTGAATGAATGGTAAAGTGGTTGGGAAACATGATTGGAGGCAAAGTCAAACTTGTACCCTCAGATCCAGAGAAGTAACTCTACCACTGCAACAGAAGAGCGAGACGCTGAGCTACCTGTAACGGAAAGTATAGAATATACTGGCCCATTCTTTCCAGTGGCCTCCTGACTTTTTTTTTTTGAGATGGGGTCTCAATATGTTGCCCAAGCTGGTCTCTTAACACCTGGGCTCAAGGGATCCTCCTGCCTCAGCCTTCAGAGTAGCTGGGACTAAAGGTGCACCACCGTACCTGGCTCACCAACCTCCTGATTCTTTTCCAGGAAAACTCATCTCAATCAAATATGACCAACATACGAGATTTAGTCCTAGATCTAGGTGTGTTTTATTTAAACCTGGTAACTACCCTCTTGAAGAAGGACAAGTGGGCTCCCTGAGAAGAGGGACAGACTACAGAGTGGGCACAGGGGATCAGAGCTTGCTGGAACTGGCTTAGTCCTGTGGTATCAAGGACATGCTGGAATCACTCATACTGATGAAAGTATGTGGCTGAGGAGTCACAAAGGATACCCTATTCATCAGAGTATTGTGGAAATAAACCTCATACACTTGAAAGTATTTTCAGTCAGCCTTGGCCAAAATGAAAATGAAAGAAACTATAGATCAGTTTGGTGTCAGATAAGGAAAAATAAAAAGCCTGGAGGCAGGATAGACTTTGAGTTACAAATACTTCAATAATTATAAATGCAGATCTAAGTTATTTTTTATGGCAATATGATAAGGAAGATTAAGTCAAGGAAGCATCATGTATGGACAATTACCAATGACAGCCCGGGAAAACTCACATCGATGAGGGGCACATTTCTTCCTGAAACTTAAATGTATACATGCTGTCTTCTGCAAACTTCAATCGATTTCTTATTCAGTTAGCTCAAGGAGTCCATAACATGCAAGTTGCACAGTGGAAAAGTTTTAACCAATAATCCTGATATATGTTCAATGGTAGAAATTTTGCTTTTAAAACTATGCTTTACTAGAATGTGATTATGAACCCATTACCTAAACTCTTCACTTCAGTTTCTTTTTAAAAAAAAATTTTTTTTTTTTTTGAGACGGAGTTTCGCTCTTTTACCCAGGCTGGAGTGCAATGGCGCGATCTCAGCTCACGGCAACCTCCGCCTCCTGGGTTCAGGCAATTCTCCTGCCTCAGCCTCCTGAGTAGCTGGGATTGCAGGCATGTGCCACCATGCCCAGCTAATTTTTTTGTATTTTTTTTTTAGTAGAGACGGGATTTCACCATGTTGACCCAGATGGTCTCGATCGCTTGACCTCGTGATCCACCTGCCTCGGCCTCCCAAAGTGCTGGGATTACAGGCATGAGTCACCGCGCCCGGCTCTTTTTAAAAAATTTTTAATTTTAAGAAATACATATGAGGGTCTCACTATGTTGCCCAGGCTAATCTCCAACTCCTGGGGTCCAGCTGTCCTCTCACCTCAGCCTTCCAAATTGCTGGAATTACAGGTGGAAGCCGTTACACCCAGCCCACCTCAGTTTCATCAAGCATAAAAGGGGAATGTTAAGAGTACCTACTTTAGGCTGGGCATGGTGGCTCATGCCTGTAATCCCAGCACTTTGGGAGGCCGGGGCAAGCGGATTGCTTGAGGTCAGAAGTTTGAGACCACCCTGGCCAACATGGTGAAACCCCATCTCTACCAAAAATACAAAAATTAGCCGGGTGTGGTGGCAGGGACCTGTAATTCCAGCTACTCAGAGGGCTGAGGCAGGAGAATCACTTGAACCCCGGGAGGCAGAGGTTGCAGTGAGCTGAGATTGCGCCACTGCACTCCAGCCTGGGTGATGGAGTGAGACCCTGCCACACACACAAAAAAGAGTACCTAATTTATAACAGGCTGTGTAAATTTGTTACATGAATATATTAATGTAAGGCATTTATTCCATTGATTAATGTAAAGGCATTAATACACTAATGTGTGGACATTGTATGCACAACATACATATTTTTAAAAAATTTACTTTAGTTTAGAGTATGACTGAAAATGAAGTCTTCTCACTTAAAGATATAAGATATTGAACATAGGCTATCTAATTTCATCACATTTCTGATAATAACTCACTGCTTATGACCCTACCGATCTTATAGTAGTTAACATCCTCTGCGTATCTATCGACTGTTAGGAAAATATTACCAATTAAAACATGTTCATGATTTCATAGAAAACACATTTTAAAAACTAATTCTTATTTTGCTATGTAATGTGACATATAAAATATACTTTTCTGGCTGGGCATGGTGGCTCATGACTGTAATCTCAGCACTTTGGGAGGCTCAGGCTTGCCGATCACTTGAGGTCAGGAGTTCAAGACCAGCCTAGCTAACATGGTGAAACCCCAACTCTGCTAAAAATACAAAAAATTAGCCAGGTGTGGTGGCACACACCTATAATCCCAGCTACTACTCAGGAGGCTGAAGCAGGAAAATCACTTGGACCCAGGAGGCAGACGTTGCAGTGAGCTGAGACCGTGCCACTGCACTCCAACCTGGGTGAAAAAGTGAGACTCCATCTCAAAAAAAATTATATACTTTGCTTTATAACTCAAAATCATAATTTATGAATATATACAGAGTAGACTATATATTTTCACACAAAAAATGATAATTTTCTGTATAATTTTCACAAAAATTATGTGAAACCTATTGTAATGACTACTCAGAGAGGAGGTAAAATGGAACTGATAGAAATGGTCATCAAGTACTTTTGTTTTATCTCCATTATTTTAATTTGTTTATTATTATTTTTAATTAGAGACAGGGTCTTGCTCTGTCTTAGGAGTTCAAGACCCATCTGGACTACATGGTGAAATCCCATCTCTACAAAATGGGTGTAGCGGCACATACCTGTAGTCCCAGTTGCTTGGGAGGCTGAGGCGGGAGGATCACTTGAGCCTGGGAGGTTGAGGCTGCAGTGAGCCGAGACTGCGCCACCACACTCATGCTGGGATGACAGAATGAAACCTGTCTCAAAAAATAAGAAAAAAGAATGAAGAATGAGAACATAAATTTGAGTTTAGAAATAGGACCATCAAAACTGCTATGGTCTCAGGGAACACATTTTTATTATTATTAGAAAATTTGGGTTGGGCACTGTTGCTGACATCAGTAATTTCAGCATTTAGGGAGGCAGAGGCAGGAGGATAGCTTGAGCTCAGGAGTCAAGACTAGCCTGGACAACATAGTAAGATCCCCATTTGCCACAAAAAGGGGAAAAAAAAAGAGATTTGGCAAAACATAAATGTCTTTTTACATGGAGAATCTCAGTTTTCACATTTATAAAATAAAAAAGAATAGTTTTATCTTATTGAGTCACTTTGTAGATTATGTACAATGAGACCTCATTTCCCTCTTCCTTTTCTCCTGTATTTTTTTTTGAGACAGAGTCTTGCTTGAATGCCCAGCCTGGAGTGCAATGGCATGATCTCAGTTCACTGCAACCTCCACTTTCCAGGTTCAAGAGATTTTTCTGCCTCAGCTTCCCAAGTAGCTGGGACTACAGGCGCATGCCACCATGATGGCTACTTTTTGTGTTTTTAGTAGAGACTGGGTTTCACCATATTGGCCAGGCTGGTCTCGAACTCCTGCCATCAAGTGATCTGCCCACCTCGGCCACCCAAAATTCGGGGATTACAGGTGTGAGCAACTGCGCCTGGCCCAACCACACCTTCTTGATTGAGCCGGAGAGTGACACTCTGAAGTGATGATGCCCCAGCCTCGAGAGGCCATACATGCTTCTGTGCTCGCTCTCAAGCCTGCCCTCTCTCTCACCCACTCTCTCTCCCTCCAAGCCTGGACTAGCCTGCTAGAGGATCAGAGACTGTAGAGAAAAGAGCTCATATTCCGCAACACAGGCAATTTTAAATGAGTTTACAGCTAGTCAACCCTCAAGCATGCAAGAGATGCTAGCCAAGATCACAACTGCCCAGCCAGCTTGTAGATTTATAAACAATAAGAAATGCTTATTTTATTTTAAACCACTGAAATTGTATTAAACAGCCATGGGGGCAAATTATACATACATTTGGTCTTCGTACATATCAATTTTCTGAACTTTCTTCTGTTCTCTCAGTTCTCACCATGTTCCTGTAGCCTGTACTTCCACATTACCATTCTGCTGGGGATTTTCTGCAAAAGTCTTAGCCATGTACTGTATGAGGTATAAAGAATAACAATTCTGTTTTGTATGTAATATATTCTTCCACATTCCCTAAATCTGGGGTCCCCAACCCCTGGGCTACGAACTGGGCCACACAGCGGGAGGTGAGCGGTGAACAAGTCAGCGAAGCTTCATCTGTATTTATAGTCGCTTCCCATAGCTCACGTTATTGTCAGAGTTCCATCTCCTGTCAGATCAACTGATAGCATTAGATTCTCATAGGAGTATGAACCTCATTGTGAAATGCACAGGCGAGAGGGATCTAGGTTGCATGCGTGTTATGAGAATCAAATACCCTATGATCTGTCACTGTCTCCCATTACCTCCAGATGGCACCATCTGGTTACAGGAAAACAAACTCAGGTCTCTCACTGATTCTACATTATGGTGAGTTGTATAATTATTTCATTATATATTACAATGTAATAATAATAGAAAGAAAATGCACAATAAATGTAATGCCCTTGAATTATCCCAAAACCACTCCCTAACCAGTCTGTGGGAAAATTGTCTTCCACAAAACAAAAAGGTTGGAGACTGCTACCCTGAATGCTCTGGAAATAGCTTTTCATACCTTTCAGTAAATACATATATTTTATGAGATGGGGTCTCACTATATTGCCCAGGCTGGTGTTGAACTGGGCTCAAGTGATCCTCCCACCTTGGCCTCCCAAAGTGCTGGGATTACAGGTTTGAGTCACCATGCCCGGCCTCTTTCAGTAATATCTGTTCAGCACCCGTTGCATGCATGCTGCCATGCTAAGTTCACTAGCAGATGGAAGGATGAGTATGAAACAACATGATGGAATAGCACAAGGCATCAGTGTTCCTGTACTGGATAACTTTATAATAAAAGAAAAAGAATTTGTATGTTCTTCTCTCCCAGAGCAATGCAAAGTTGTTTTGTTTTTAGGGAAGCCAAATGGGCTAGAATGCCTTCTAACAAAACATTCCCTAAATAGGTAACATGTGGAGCACTTTGGTATAGGTGCCAAAAAATCTAATTTAGCACTAGAATAGAGAATAGAAAGAAAAAAAAAATGAGCATAGATGGAAAGATGACATTTCCAGTCAGAAACAGAAAGAAGTGACCATTAATGTACAATAAAATTAAAATTTTTAATTCACAACATTGAAAAGCAATTACAGATGGGTTCAAAAGCTAATTTTTGAAGTTTATATTAAAATAATAAAAGAAAAAATCTTTTAACATAAAATAAAATGCATCCCAATAGAGAAAATAGTGCAACATATATGAATGAGAAAAGAAAAATATTTCTATTTTACAAGGAATTTGAACAAAATAAGAAAAACTAATTCCATCATAATATTGGATCAATGGCATGAAAAAAAATGTCTAGAGGAGAGAGTATAACTTATTTTATTTTAATTTTTTTGAGACAATGTCTCACTCTGTTGGCCAGGCTAGAGTGCAGTGGTGCCATCTCGGTTTACTGCAACATCTGCCTCCTGGGTTCAAGTAATTCTCCTGCCTCAGCCTCCTGAGTAGCTGGGATTACAGGTGCGTGCCACTATACTAGGCTAATTTTTAATACTTTAGGTAAAGATGGGTTTCATCATGTTGGCCAAGCTGGTCTCAAATTCCTGATCTCATAACCCGCCTGCCTTGGCCTCCTAAAAATAATTTTTTAAATGGTGAAAAATGCTCTTCACTAGTCATTTATAATATGTACATTAATTCAATAATGAGTTAATTTTTTCCCAAAAAAACTGTCAAAAATTGACAATATTAACAATCACAGAAAAACAAAACAGAAGACTGGCAAAAATTTTTAGTTATAAATCAAGACTTATTAGTAAAGTAGGGAATGTATGCCCTAATTTATTATTAGTGGGAATGTAAATTGGTACAGGATTTGAGGGGAATGTAACATCTTTCATTTTAATATACTTCATACCATGTACCCCAGAATACTTATAGAAGAATTTTAAATGGTCAGTAGGAGACTGATTCTACCATCTTAACCATTTGCTAGCATACAGTTCAGTAGTGTTGAGTGCACTTACACTTTCGTGTATGTAATCTCCAGAACTCTTTTCATTCTGCACGACTGAAACTCTATACCCCTTGAACAACTCTCATTCCCCTCTCCCCCAACTTCTTCTTCCTCCTCCTCCTCCTCTTCTCCTTCTTCCTCTTCTTCTCCTTCTTTTTATTATATATATATATAGAGAGAGAGATGGGATTTCACCATGTTGGCCAGGCTGGTCTCAAATTCCTGACCTCAGGTGATCTGCCCACCTCTGCCTCCCAAAGTGCTGGGATTACAGGCATGGGTCATCAAGCCTGGCCTCTTTCGTCTTTTTCTTTCTTCTTTTTTTGAGATGAGATCTCCCTGTGTTGTCTGGGCTGGAGTATAGTGACATGATCATAGCTCACTGTAATCCAAATTTCCTGGCCTCAAGCAATCCTCCCACCTCATCCTCCCTAGTAGCTAGGACTACGGCTATGCACCAGCATGCTTGGATAATACTTTTTCTTTTTTCTTTTTTTTTTTTTAAGACAAAGTTTTGCTTTTTCACTCAGGCTGGAGTGAAGTGGTGCAATCTTGGCTCACTACAACCTTTGCCTCCTGGTTTCAAGCAATTCTCCTAACTCAGCCTCCTGAGTACCTGGGATTATAGACACCTGTCATTATGCCTGGCTAATTTTTGTATTTTTAGTAGAGATGGGGTTTCACCATGTTGGTCAGGCTGGTCTCAAACTTGACCTTAGGTGATCCACCTGCCTCGGCCTCCCAGAGTGCTAGGATTACACATGTGAGCCCCCACACCTGGCCAGTTTTTTTTTTTTTTTTTTTTGTAGAGATGGAATCTCACTATGTAGTCCAGGCTGGTCTCAAACTCCTGACTTGGCCTCCACATGTGTTGGGATTATAGGTGTGAACTACCATGCCCAGCATAGACCCTGCTTCTGATTTTTTTGGGTGTATACCCCTAAGTGAAATTGCTGGATCATATGGTAATTGTTTTTAATTTCTGAGGTACCACCATAGTGCTTTTCATAGTGGCAGCACCATTTTACATTCCTGCAAGCATTCTAATTTCTCCCCGTCCTCACTGACATAGTTATTTTCTGTTCCTTTGATAGTTGTCATTCTAATGTGTGTGAAGTAGTATCTCATTTTGGTTTTGATTTTCTTTCCCCTAATAATTAAGTTGCTAAGCATCTTTTGTGAATTTGTCCATTTGTATATCTTCTTAGGAGAAATATCTATTCAAGTCCTTTGCACATTTTTAATTAGACTTTTTTATTGTTGTTGAGTTCTAGTTTTGTATATATTATAGCTATTGACCCCTTATCAGATAAATGATTTGCAAATATTTTCTCCCACTTTTTTATTGTTGTTGAGTTCTAGTTTTGTATATATTATAGCTATTGACCCCTTATCAGATAAATGATTTGCAAATATTTTCTCCCACTCCATAGCTTGCCATTTCACATTTTTTTTTTTTTGGAGACAGAGTCTTCCTCTGTTGCCCAAACTGAGTTCAGTGGCATGATCATGGCACACTGCAGCCTTCACCTCCCAGGTTCAAGTGACTTCCACCTCTGCCTCCCAAGTAGCTGGGATTACAGGTGCCTGCCAACACACCTGGCTAATTTTTGTATTTGTAGTAAAGATGGGGTTTCACCATGTTGGCCAGGCTGGCTTCAAACTCTTGACCTCAGGTGGTCCACCCACCTTGGCCTCCAAAGTGCTGGGATTATAGGCGTAAGCTACCATGCCCAGCCCATTTCACTTTTTTGATTGTGTCCTTTTTTTCATACAATTTTTTTTTTTTTTTTTTTTTTAGAGGTAGGGTTTGCCATGTTGGTCAGGCTGGTTTTAAACTCCTGCCTTCAGGTGATCCACCCACCTCAGCTTCCCAAAGTGCTGGGATTACAGGGGTAAGCCACCATGCCCTGCCCAATCATACAAGGTTTTTTTTTTAAATATAGTCTAATTTATCTATTTTTATTCTGTTGCCTTTTGGTGTCATATCCAAGAAATCATTGCTAAATCAAATGTTATAAAGCTTTTCCCCTATGTTTTTTCTAAGTGTTTTACAGTTTTAGCTTTTGTGTTTAGGACTTGATCCATTTTAATTTTTGTATATGGTAAGGTAAGGATCCAGCATCATTATTTTGCATGTGGATATTCAGTTTTCCCAACACCTGTTTGTTGTAGAGACTGTCCTCTACCAATTGAATGGCCTTAGCACCCTCATTGACTGTCTGTGCAAAGATGTATTTCTGGACTTGTTTTTTTCCATTGGTTTATATATCTGTGTTTATGCCAGCACCACGCTCTTTGATTAATTTGTAACCAATGTTGAGATTAGGTAATAGGCCTCCAACCTTGTGCATCTGTTCATCTTTTTCAACATTATTTTGGCTATTTGGGATTCCTTGAGACTTTACAGAAATTTTTGGATAGATTTTTCTTAAATTTCCACGAAAAGCACCATTGGGATTTTTATAGGGATTGCATTAAATCTGTAAATTAGGCAGGGTGTGGTGGCTCATGTTTATAATCCCAGCACATTGGGAGGCCAAGACGGGTGGATCACCTGAGGTTGGGATTTTGAGACCAGCCTGACCAACATGGTGAAACCCCTGTCTCTTAAAAAAAATAATAATTTTGGCCGGGAGCGGTGGCTCAAGCCTGTAATCCCAGCACTTTGGAAGGCCGAGGTGGGTGGATCACGAGGTCAAGAGATGGAGACCATCCTGGCCAACATGGTGAAACCCCGCCTCTACTAAAAATACAAAAATTAGCTGGGTGTGGTGGTGTGTACCTGTAGTCCCAGCTACTCGGGAGGTTGATGCAGGAGAATTGCTTGAACCCAGGAGGCAGAGGTTGCAGTGAGTGAGACTGTGCCACTGCACCCCAGCCTGGTGCCTGGTGACAGAGTGAAACTCTGTCTCAAAAAAATAAAAAATAAAAAATAAAAAAATATCTGTAAATTGCTTAGGTAATATTGACATATTAATAATATTAAGCCTTCCCATTTATGCACATGGAGCGTCTTCTCATGTGTCTTAATTTATTTCAGCAACATTTTATAGTTTACAATGGACAAGTCTTTCAAGTCCTTGGTTAAGTTTATTTCTTACTACCTTATTACTTTTGATGCTATCATAAGTGGAGTTATTTTTATAATGTTCTTTTCTAATTGTTTATTATTAGTGTATAGAAACACCATTGATTTTTATACAGTTTTGTATATTTTTAAAGGTAGACACTGTATGCAAACAATATTTGGAAAATCTCTAGGATACAATATCAAATAACACATACATATTTCAGAACAATTCACTAAGATTCACCTTATGTAAATAAATCTCTTCATACATGTGTTCACTACTACTCTGAATAATGAGCTTCTTTTTTTTTCATTTTCCCACCCTACTGGGCCACAATATACCTGCCCTGGAAAAGGAGATTTCTCAATTTCTATCTCTCTATGTTTCAGAAATTCTCTCCTAGAAAAACATTCTCACTTGTTCTATGTATTGTATTCTTAGCTTATCTCTCATAATTTGAATAATTCATGGGCCAAAGGCCCATTCAATTTGAAATGTATTTCTCCTTTTATGATGGGAGACTTTTTGAATAGATTTTTTAAAAACATCAATAGCTGCCTTAAAACAAATGCAAAATGCAATCACAGGGCTACCTGAGAAGGGAGTAGTGGAAAGGGAAAGAGGAGAAAGAAGGATGATACTCACTGGGACTATGAGGATGATACTCCCAGCGAGTATCATCCTTCTTTGTTCTCTTTCTGGATCCTGTGGTGGTATCACCTTCCTGCTGATATCTAGCGGGATCCTGTGGTGATATCACCTTAATGCTGGAATCATTCCTGTTGATGGAAGGGTCTTGCTGGGGATTCTCTGGGGCCATTCTGTTCATCATGGTTTTTGAAATCTGAGATGGAAGGCCTATGAGATAGGGAATGCTGATGAGGAATTCATTCGCTGGATAGCAATGTTTTCAAGGAGCCTGGGCTTGCTGTATGACCTCTGGCAAGTGAGGTTAACCCCCAATTCCTCTATCTCAGCTGGAAAATGATTCATATGTTATATTATAGAGAAATACTCTAGCTGTACCTGTCAAAAATGAAACTTTAGAAATAACAGAAGAAATTATGTGTCAATATCTTTGTGACTCAGAGTAGAGGATCATCTCTTTGATGAGATTGAAGTGCAATCTGTGCATGAAAAGATAGAGATCAAATGACTACAGATTCCTTATCAGAAAAAAAGACAGTTCTTTTCTTTCAGCACTTCAAAGATTTTGTTCCACTGTCAACTTAGATTCTTATATAGACCACTTGCCATCACCCCCAATCAACTCAGATTCCATATCCAGGGAAAATATCTTTCAGGAAAGAAGGTGAAATGAAGACATTCTCAGAACAACGAGAATCCGTGGACAATAGTCCTGTTCTATGGAATATTAAAGAAAGTTCTTCCCAAGAGGAAAAATTGGAACTTCAATAAAAATCACACGTATGGTAAATATCTGGTTACATATAATAGGTCTTAAATTATTAAAAGTTATTTCCTTTTTTCAGTAATAAAGGAAAAGCTACACATATGGTAAATATCTGGTTACATATAATAGGTCTTAAATTTTTTTTTTTGAGATGGAGTCTTGCTCTTGTTGCCCAGGCTGGAGTGTAATGGTACGATCTCAACTTACCACAACCTCTGCCTCCAGAGTCAAGCGATTCTCCTGCCTCAGCCTCCTGAGTAGCTGGGATTACAGGCATGCACCACCACACCCAGCTAATTTTTGGAGTTTTTAGTAGAGATGGGGTTTCTCCATGTTGGTCAGACTTGTCTTGAACTCCTGACCTCAGGTAATCCACCCACCTCAGCCTCCCAAAGTGCTGGGATTACAGGCGTGAGCCACCATGCCTGGCTAAGAATACTCCTTTTTCTAGCATCATCTGTGTAAGGTCAGATTTTCTTCTTACACTTCAAAAAAAAAATGTATCAGAAAAGATGACTGCAAAAGCAGACGAGAATTCTGCCATCTTCCATTAGGCCAAAGTACTGAAATGTAAAACAATGCCATTGGTCTCACTATTTTTTGTGTGTCTGGAAAATATAGTTAATATGTAATGCTGCTGGGCACGGTGGCACGTGCCTGTAGTCCCAGTTACTCAGGAGGCTGAGGCTGGAGGATTACTTGAGCCCAGGAGTTCTGGGCTGTAGTGTGCTATGCCCATTGGGTGTCCACACTAAGTTTGGCATCAGTATGGTGTCCTCCCAGGAGCAGGGGACCACCAGATTGCCTAAGGAGGGGTGAACCGGCCAGGTCAGAAATGGAGCAGTAGTGGGATCGGCCTGTGAATAGCCACTGCACTCCAGCCTGGGCAACATAGCAAGACCCCATCTCAAAAAAAAAAAAAAAAAGATAAAGAAAAGAAAAAAACAACATAATGCATGTATCATTTCATTTTGAAAGGAATGAATAAATATATTTTAATTTTTCAATTTTCACTTTGAATATGGTAAATATCTAGATATATCCTGTAGAAACAAAGTTCTTTGGAGTCCTCAACAATTTTTAATATAAAGAGGTCCTGGGACCAAAAATTTTGAACAGCAGTAACAAGGAATGGCATAGGGCTTGGCATTTAATTGGAAAGAAATTAAACTTAACTAATCATCTATTATTCAGTACAATTCTAACAGTAAATAAATAATGCAGTAACATTCAATAGCAACATTAGGATACTGTCAGACATCCAAGTGCTTCATATACATGATTCATTTGATCCTCAACAAACACATAGGGTAATGTACAATTATTATCAACCTCTTGTAGATAAAGAGACATGAGGTCTTAGAGTTTGGCCAGGTAGAGGAGAAGCATAGATGGTAATGATCAGGTCTTACTGACTGTTGTGCACACAGTCTAAACCCTGGACCACTTTCCTGTGATGGGCATTGAGAGTCTGCAGCTTAAACTAGCATGTTATAAAAACAAAGAATTGGCCAGGCGTGGTGGCTCCCGCCTGTCATCCAAGCACTTTGGAGGCCAAGGCAGGCGGATCACCTGAGGTCGGGAGTTCATGACCGGCCTGACCAACATGGTGAAACTCCGTCTTTAAGAAAAAAAAAATTTTTTTTAATAAAAACATAAACAAAAACAAAGAAGCAAACAAGTCAACTGGTCTAGAGTGTTTTTCCTGATCAAGGCTATGGAGAGCATAAGACAGAATTGCCACTAAGAGAACCACATTTACTCAGCAAATTTTTGTTGCCTGCCTCCTACAAATGGGCACTTACATAGGTCTGCTGATTCTGCAATGAAAGAAGTACACAAAAATCATTGCTATTACATTCTAATAAGGATTTCCAAAGGCCAGGCTAGCACAGACTGGGAAAGTTTGGGAGCCCTGCAGAACAGACAACCACACTCAGTAAATATGGAGTCTCACATTCACTCCCTGATTTTCACAAGGTGAACAGTCTTTCTGACCTTCCTTCTGTCCCTAATTTGCAACTCTTTATTTCATGTCCCCCTAATGTGAATGGGCTGAGTTGCTTGCATCCTTTAATCTTGCTCCTTTGATTTTTCAAATCCTCTTTGAGCACTTAAAGCCCCAAATTCTGGTTGACCTCCCCGCCTCCCCGTGCTTACCTGTCCTGAATCCCCTTAGACTAACCGTTTTCAGTCCTGCTTGCTGTGTCTCTCTCCGGAAATGCAGTTTCCTTAGCGCATCCTCATGGAGAAGACCCTGTATTTAAATCCTTTTTATGCCATCAGACCTCCTCCTGTCCCTGAACCACCAGACACACCCTGATGTCCCACCCTTCATTCATTCATTTGTTTATTCAACGAAAGTATGCTTGGCCAGTGTGGTAACTCACGCCTGTAATCCCAGCACTTTGGAAGGCTGAGGTGGGTGGATCACCTGAGGTTGGGGGTTTGAGACCAGCCTGACCAACATGGAGAAACCCCCATCTCTACTAAAAATACAAAATCAGCTGGGAGTTGGTGATGCATGCCTGTAATCCCAGCTGCTTGGGAGGCTGAGGCAGCAGAATTGCTTGAACTTAGGAGATGGAGGTTTCGGTGAGCTGAGATCACACCATTGCACTCCAGTCTAGGCAAACTCTGTCTCAAAAAAAAAAAAAGTTCCTAAGAAGCTGTCTAGATGGTTAAAAAAAAAAAGTATGCTTGGAGCATATTGTAACTGTTGCTGAAAATAGAGTCATTATTCTTTTTTTGTACCCAAACTTCCTACCTTTGACAACCCTTCAAGTGGCTCCTGTGTTTTTTTTATCCAACCGCCTTTTTACTTTTACACTTGTGTTGTTCAAAGTTTTAGGTTCCTCTAGGTGCCTCTGGTCCGAGGTACTCAGGAGGCGGAAGTGGAAGGATGGCTTGGGCCTGGGAGATTGAGGCTGCAGTGAGCCCTAATTGCACCAGTACAGTCCAGTCTGGGCAACAGAGCGAGACAGCAAGACCCTATCTAAAAAAAAAAAAAAAAGAAAAAAAAAAAGAAAGAAAGAAAGAAAAAGAAAAATAGTTTTAGGAGTGTATCTTTAAAATAGTGATCCACTCTGAGAATTTTTATATGGAATAATCCATTTATGTTCTAGAAGATAAGAATACAGTAATCCTACCTTCTCCAGTTTGGCTTTCTATGGTTTTAGTTGACTGCCATCCAAAAATATTAAACAGAAACTTCCATAAATAAAAAATGTATACGTTTTCTTTTCTTTTTCTTTTTTTTTTTTTGAGATGGAGTTTTGCTCGTGTTGCCCAGACTGGAGTGCAATGGCAGGATCTCAGCTCACTGCAACATCTGCCTCCTGGGTTCAAGCTATTCTTCTGCCTCAGACTACCAAGTAGTTGGAATTACAGGCGTGTGCCACCACACCCGGCGAATTTTGTATTTTTTAAGTAGAGACAGGGTTTCTCCATGTTGGTCAGGCTGCTTGAACTTCTTATCTCAAGTGATCCACCCACCTTGGCCTCCCAGAGTGCTGGGATTATAGGCATGAGCTACCATGCCTAGCGCTTTTGTTTTTTTTTTTAATGTACAAATTTTAGATTGGCTGTACTGCTCCACCCAAGATATGAATCAGCCCTTTGTCCAGTGTATCCATGCTATAGAAGCTACCTCGCCTATACAATGGGTTGTATAGGAAGAAACTGAAGATCCTGGAATGTACCCCCATGGATAATGGGGGGATCACTATTTATTTCTACCTCATTTCATACAATCTTTGTTCTGTTAGAATGGTTGTATTTTATTTTCTCCCCTTCTCAAATGGTAGGTAAGTTTTGTGCAAGATTTAAAGTTACATTATTTTTATCTATTTATTCTTTTTTTAGAGATGGCATTTCACTCTGTCATCCAAGCTGGACTGCAGTGGTACCATCATGGTTCACTGCAGCCTTGACCTCATGAGTTAAAGTGATCCTCCCCAGTAGTGAGCCTCCCCAGTAGCTGGGACTACAGGTATGCACCACCACACCCAGCTAATTAAAAAAATATACATTTTAGTAGAGATAGGGTGTTGCTAGGTTGCCCAGGCTGGTTCAGAACTCCTGGGCTCAAGTGATCCTCCTGCATTGGCCCCTCAAAGTGCTGGGATTACAGGCCTGAGTCACTGTGTCCAGTCTAAGCTTGCTTGTATGTTCCTAAAAGTGGCCATTATTTATTTTTGTCATAAATATTTATTTAGATTTAATCATATATTTATCAAGTGCTTTGATCATAATTGCTTCTTTCATCCTTTTTCTTTCTTTTGGGCACAGTTTTATTTTTTCTGATGTAGAATCATAAATAGTTCTTTTAATTGTAAACATTTTTAAACTTTAAAAATGTCTTTATTACATTCTTGCATAATAGGTTAGGTGAATATAGAAGTCATTTATCTGAGAAGTCTGCTAACATTCAAACTTTTATTCCTTTGTAGGTAATTGTTCTCTACTCTCTAGTTGCTTTTATTTTATTTTTCCAAGACCAAGTCTTGCTCTGCCACACATCACCCAGGCTGGAGTGTGGTGGCTTTTTTTTTTTTCTTTTTTAGTAGAGATGAGGTTTTCACCTGTTGGCCAGGCTGGTCTCAAACTTCTGATCTCATGATCTGCTGCCTGCCTTCACCTCAAACTCTAGTGCTCAAGTAATCCTCCTGCCTCCACCTCTTGAGTAGCTGAGACTACAGGTGCATGCCACCATGCCTATTTTATTATTATTATTATTTTTGTATGGTGGGTTTTCCCTATGTTGCTTAGGCTTGGCTCAAGAGGTCCTCACAGGCTGGGCATGGTGGCTTGCACCTCTAATCCTGCACTTTGGGAGACTGAGGCAGACGATCACCTGAGGTTGGGAGTTCAAGACCAGCCTGGCCAACATGATGAAACCCTGTCTCTACTAAAAATACAAAACTTTGCTGGTCCCAGTGGTGCATGCCTATAGTCCCAGCTACTCCTACTTGGGAGGCTGAGGCAGGAGAATTGCTTGAATCAAGGAGGCAGAGGTTG